TCTAGGGGAGGGGCCAGGGGAGCCCGCCCGCCCTCCCGCCTTATTTTGGGTGAAGAAAGAAGAAATGACTGAGGGAAGAAAAACTGGCAGGGCAAGTAAAACACCCTTCCCCCTCCATCGGCCCCATGTGATGTTGTGACCAGTTGTTTTAACGTGATCAGCAATAGCAGAGGAGTGCATGTTTCGAAAGGGCCTTTAAATGTTCCGTTCGTAAAATGCTTCCCTGTTAGCAGAACACCAGGAAAAGAGCCTCTGCTAGCAAAACCTTAGTAAAAAAAATAATGAATTACTACTTAGTATGCAGGTTATTTCTTGTTCTCCAGACAACAATTTGTATGGTAAGATATTTAATTTGTAGAAAATAACGCAGACCTTAGTAAAACAAAAAGTAATGAATTACTACTTAGTATGCAGGTTATTTTTTGTTATGACTTCCCTTTATCAGTTTGTCAAACCAGATGTTGTTAGCTGTCATACCAAGCTGTAAATTATTTTAATAATTGAAGGCATGAGCGTGTCAGGAGCTCAGATCATGTCTGAATGTATAAAATATGCACATATACTAAACACATAAATTGACATTTTATGTAGCTTCCATCAGAAAATTGAAAACGTGTAATAATGTACACTCGTCAGATGCTATTTTGCGGGTCTCTGTTTCTAATCAGTTTCTACCAAAAAGAACAACCAACCTAGCATTTGCGCTAGCTCTCCATTTCAAATGATAAAAAGTTTAGAAAACCGACAAATAAGGGCGATATTAAAAGTCTTTTAACACAAACAACAATTTACACCTGTTTAAATGCTACCAAGTCTGTAAGAAGAAACCGCAACAGATGGCCTTTTCATCCGGTGACAAATATGTAAAATCATTCCCTTAACCACAAGCAGCTCAAGCCACCAAATCTGTAAGAAAAAACAAGATGTGATAAGCCATAAAAAAAAACATAACTGGCTTTATTATCCGGTGGCAAACATGTAAACTCATCCGCCTAACCACAAGCAGTTTAGTCAAGTCTTTACAGCTTAAAGCGCTGTCTACTCAAGGACCAAGTACTACCTACAGAGAACGATGGCTAACATAACTGCCAACGATGGAAACTACACGAAATCTGCAGGGTCAGTAGATG